TTGGACTAGTGTCCTTATCTTTATTGTTATTATCACAATGTTTCAACCATTGAGGAGTTTAGCCTTTTTCAAGTATCTATCTATTTGGGTAACGTTCTCTTCAGGGAATTTCAAACTGAACCCTTTATTTAATCTACAGGAGTAGATTGTTCTCATTCTGCATGTAGTGACATCTCATCTTGTTATTATTTAGTGTGATACTATGGACATCCATATAGCAAGGGAATAGTTGGTTTTATCTTAATTTTGAGTGTTTCTGTCTGATGGACCTGCAGATAAGTACTTTTGAGGTTGTCTTCTAAGCAGCATCCACTTTAACCAAAGGGTATTGGGAAGTAAAGGGGTGGACGAGGGATTTTTGCAGATCAAGTGGCAACAAAACCAGAAATAGGTTATGCTGTAACCAGGAACTAAGGAAACGGAAGCACCAGATGATGGAATTGAAGAGAATTCAGATATGGAAGATGATGATAATGATTATGTAACTATGACAGGAAGTGAAACAATTCTTGCTGCTGATAACTTATTTCATCCTCATCACCAAAATGTCACAACTTTGTAAGTGTGGGTCTGTTATGACAACAACAACAACACAGTTTAGTCTGGTGACTTCTGTCTGCAGAAGTGATACTCCTGCTTTTTATTCACACAATATGGTTGATATGGTATTCCTGTGTCGGAATACTAGCTGAAACAGTGCTTCTGTTTCTTTAGCACCTGGTTACAACAGATTTTATCCAGGTGCTGATCTATATTAACAGTCATGCTGTGGATCAGGAGAGTTCTGCTCTGTTCTTGGTTGGAGATGGTTGTGTCCATGTCACAGCTCAAACGTCTCCATTTCATATTGCCAGCTATCATGTCAAGATGAATAGATAGGTAATAAATTGGTAAGTGGAAGAGCTGTCATAGCAGAAGTTGTCCCAAGTTATGACCTACCTGCCTACTCACCTGGATGGGCAGGCAAAGCCCAAAATAAAACACCTACATATGATATGGGAAACAAGGTTCATGCTCTTATTTCTTGATATAGCAATTACCTTTCATCAGGTTACTTTGTGAGCAGGCAGTGTGCCTTTCCCCAGCTTTCGGTGAATACTGACAAGATTGAGAAACAGAATGCAATGTGGGGTAATCATTAGCCAGTCAATGGAGAGCTTGGGTAATGTTTGGGTTCTATGTTTACATTATTGCTCATCCTCATTTCTACTGACCCTGAGTCTGTACTACCCTGCCCATGGATTGAACCCACAATTACTGTACCACCAAATTCACAAGCTAACACTTTAATCCTAATGAGAGATCTTGGAAGAAAGGTTTATTCTCCCATTTTTATTTCCCTCATTATGAGCATTATTATAACCATGATATAATGACACTGTTTTTCACAGACAGAATGGAATGGCTGAAAGGAAAAGGAAGGACAAACATACTTTGTTTTCAGAGAGACTTTTATATTACTAAGACATACACAAAACTATATATACATATTTGCACATGTTCACACAGAAAAAAATATGACATATATCTACACAACAAGTTGACTGAAAGGAGAACAAAAAAGTAGGGTCTTAAATATGATATGGAGATTCTTCTGTATTTTTGGAGAAGCCATGTTTAGGACTCCAGATTCATCTATTATGTCCCAAGTGAGGACATATTCCATGAACAGGAAATGGCGAGTCTTAGGTTTTCCCAAATTGAGGTTTGCTAGAGATAGTTTCTTTCTATATCTGGGGAAAATATATTCCCAAAGGAAAATGGTGCCATGTGCTTATAAGCTGTAGCATGGGCTGGAAGAGTCAGATTTAGCCCCAGGGCTAAAAAAAAAAAAAAGCAACCACTCAGGTTGGCCCCTGTAAACCGAACGAAATTGACTGCCACTTTTTGTCATTGTATGAAATGACATAACTAAGTGACCATCACATAACTTTATCGTAACCAAAGGGAGATAATCGACCTTTTGTTTCCCCATAATCCTCTAGGCCAGTGAGTTTCAACCTATTTTGCCTGATGCACACTTTTCACCATAAATCAGAATATCATTCCCCCATTTCCAAGATTGTACCACGCAAAAGATGCATTCCAAATGATATACATATATTATCGAAAATCTTCATTCTTTTCCCTATTATTACATATACATTTACATGGATTATTTTTGTAGTGGCAAAAAACACAATAGTGAGTGGAAAGAAAATCCAGCATGACCTCTTAGTTTTTTGGACGTGTGTTGTGTCACCTTGGGGAGTTCAAAAGTTAACATTTTGAGTCTACCGATTTGTAGTCCCAATTCTCTCCACCATGAGTCCCTGAAATTCCCCCCCCCCTAGTGGGGAAATTCCCCACTGGTTGAGAACGCTTTCTCTAGGCTGTTGTCTCACGGGATGCTTATGAAGCTAGAAATTGGTGTCTTAATCGTAAATTTCTTATTGCCTTCTCTACTGTGGCCTTGCTGTCAAGCTTGGCTTTCTCTGCTGTAATTTCTCGTTTTGCTTTTTGAGAATAGCATTTTAAGCACTATTTACATTATTCAGACTATTTTCCTCATCTTTGTTGCCATATTTATCACAACATTTCAGCCATTGTACGTTCTGGCCTTCTTCAGGTGGTTGGAATGTGAAACTGAACCCTTTATTTTGCTTGCTGGGGTAGACCAAAGAAGTCATGATCGTGCAATAGCCAAAACATTGTGATAAATATGGCAACAAAGATGAGTACAATAGTCCAAATAATGTAAATAGTGAATGTAATACCTCATCTCAGAAATATAGACAGCATTTTAAGCATTAGTTAAGTTCAATTAAACTCATTAATCTCTTAAGCACTTACAATTACTAAGTGATCAGATTCACACTAGAATCTTCTATGCTCCACAATTAAAGCACTGATGGAATAACTGAAAAGTACTAAAAAATAACAACACATCTAGAGCAGACCGAGAACAATCTGCTTCTTACAAAGACAGAACGTGCAGGAGGAGTCAGGTACTTTCTGGTGTGGTACAAGGAACCGACCATTTTTCCAGCATCCTTAGCAATGGATCATATATATGAGTTCTGCTCAAGGTCAGAGGGGAACTTAATCTAAATATTAACTTTGGGTCCCTTTCATACAGTTCTTGGGACCAATATATATATATTTACAAGGACCATTAAATCAGATGAGACCAAAAAATAGGGCATTGCTGCTGTATCTGTGCTGGAGCTGCCCAGTCATATCTTTCCAGCCTTGAGTTCAAAAACATTTATGCAGCCTTGTGGGTGATGAATTATTTTCCACCCTGCAGCTTCTTTCCCACGGATTAAATATTGCAAACCTTGCTATTTCCATGGCAAATATTCTGACAAGCAACATTCATTTACATCTTTTACAATAAAGATCCACCAGGCCATATGCACAGGGTCATTCTCATTCATTTTATCTTCCATTAGTAAGAAGAAGTTCTATTCAAACAGCTTCTTCACAAGTGGAACAGACAACTGGGAGGATGCTTCCCTCATAACTACAATTTTAAAGGTCAAAGTTCAACTGCTAACTATTCTACATCTCAAAATCTGCACTTCTTACCTATTCCCCTTTTGTCCGTACAGCAACATTCAGTAACTCTCTACCTTGAGTGACTCTTGAGCCTCGTATTGGGTGAATAAAAAAGTAAAAAAAGAAATATGTGTCTTCTCAAAATCAAACAAGTAAAAAATTTAAATATCTAGGAAGTGTTTTGATGGAGGACTGAAAGTGTGATACTAAAATCTGGAGGCACATTGAGATAGCCAAAGATGGTTTCCAAAAGCTAAGCAGAGTATTAAGAGATAAAAAAAACTTTGTTAGAAACTGAACTGTTACATGATATCTGTCCTACTCTATGGCAGTAAGTGCTGGACAATTTCCTCAAAGATGAGGAACAGATTTGAAGCAACAGAAATGTAGTTCTATGGAAAGATACTGAGGATACCATATGAGCAATTTCTGATTTGTAATTTGCATTTCGGGCTCATCCTTTTGGTAATAATTTATGCATTCTGTCTTTTTGCAATTTATGTTTAGTCTTTCCTTCAAGCTTTCCTTCGCTACCTTCTGGAGGAGCTTTTGTAGTTTTCTTTCCGTGTCTGCAATCAAGTCTGTGTCATCTGCATATCTTATGTTGTTGAGATTGTGGCTGCCAATACTGAATCCTGGTAGGACTACTAATTCTCTCAGAATTGCCTGGCTAAAGATTAATGGTAAAACATTCCTGTATACTATTCAAATTCTATAACATTTTTAGTTCTATCAGTACCTCATCAGGTGTTTATTTTTTACAAATGGTTTTTTTAAAGATTTTTTATCATATATGAACCAATTTTATCTAAAATCTTCCCATTATTTTTGAAAATTTTGAAGATTTTTTAGGATCAAATTGCAAATTGACATTAATTTTTTGGTGATTAAATATTTATAGCATTTATTTTGATTGAGTATCATTACATTGACCACTGTTTGAATAACTGTGTCATTGTGAACTCTAAGATCCTTTTAATGGCTGCATAATATATGCTTCACCAGGGCTACATACAATTTTGAATTCAGAGTGTATCTTTCTAAACTGGTTGCCAACCACAGATAGAAAGTCCAGTCTACCCTGTGATTTAACCCATAACTAGGTTTGCAAAGAGATGGATTCATACCTTTCCCAAGGGTATTTGTGCAAGAGATTATAAAATGAACTTGGCCAGAATTCAAGCTCTGTTTTACCAATTTCTCATTCTGTTTCTATTCAAGAGTCACCTGCTTTTTTTTTTTTTTTTTTATTATTAAAGAATTTTGGAATACTGCTAGTCTGATTATAAACAAATTGAGTAGCATTGTGTGTCAAATTAATTGCAATAAAAGAAATGCCAAAAGGAAGTTTATTAATTTTAACACACCTGTCATTTTTCATAATTATCTAATTTTTGTTTTTGTTTTTCTGTACACTGCAATAATAGAAAATTTCATCCATTAACCATTTTCTTTTGCAGTGAAAACATGCAAGAATTCACATCTCTTCCTGAGAAGGTGATTGACTCACTGCCTTTAGAAACTGTTGCTGAACGCAGCTCTCTTCTGGCCCAGGGGGCTCAGTGTTATGTCTGCTTGCAACCTTTTCATCTTTACCAACCTGTGCGCAAATTGCCCTGTCATCATAAGGTAGAATTCATTTTTTAGCAAAACTTTTCAACTTGCAAACAATAAATTTTGCTCTAGAAAACCTTCTCATTCTTCAGGAAACAAAACTGATAGGAATAAATGACACAGTATATAGAATAACATTACAATGGTATTCTGCTGATATAAAATGAAGAATAGCAGTTGCTCCAATTTCTTTTGGAAAACTTAAGAAACAAGATCTAGAACAGAAAAGACATATCAGACGTTTTTTTTACAATGATGTTCACCCATGTACAAGGCTAAAAAACTCTCAATTGTGGAATAGTTCTTACAAAGCCATACACTAAGTTAAACTGTTTTACTTTGCATGATGAGGAAGAACTCAGGTATTATCTTGTGCCTGATTAGTATCCAGGGACAATATTATAATAGTCGAGTACCAACACATTGGCTGTAGGATAAGGAGTCCTCATGTTGAGAATGAAAGTGTGGAGTAGTGTGCCAGAGAGACTTGGTAATTATCGAAAACTTTAGGAATAAAACAAACTGACTCAAGGGTATAAAATAAATATATGTATTTATTTATTTGATTTAGAGTGAGTCCTTTAATATTCAACATAACAAAATGTTCATTTGTGAGGTGGATATTGGTAGCAGTCTGGAGAAAGTCAGTTTCAGCTTGATAGTGGGTAGTTTCGAAGTCAGAACTAGCTAGTAGTAGTCATCTTAGAAATAAGTCAACATCGATCTACTGTGTTTTTCCCCAGCCCTAAGAAGAGCATAAATATCATTAGCAGATGACCTCTTAACTATTTCATATGTCATACATGGATGGTTTCTCTGGCAGTCACATCTCTTGTTCCGTGGTGGCTCTTGCCACCCCTTCTCCTTGTCTAGCATGGAGCTCTGAGCTTATATCCTGTTGATCAGACTCCCAGACTCTGGTACGAACCTTACTTTTGCCTAACATCAAAGTCTTTTTGTGTTAATTTTTTGATTGGCAAAAATTATTTTATTTTTCAGCATTCCTTTCTTTTTCATTATTTTTATATAGCAGAAGTTATGCATAGATCTGCTCTGATTTTTGATAGTTTTTAGTTACAAATTAGTAGACTCTGGTCCCATAAACTTCTGCCATTTTGTAACTGGGTTCAGTCTTTTCTTCTTGATGTGGGCCCAAAGTTGGGACCATGGAAGGAAAACACGAAACACGGATTAGAGGTAAGAAAGATATATTAAACCAAAAGGTTACAAAGATAGTGTAAGTGTAAGCGGAGCTTACAATGTGCTAGTGTCCAATATTGGTAGTCGTACGCAGCTGACACTACGGTATTAGAATACTCTCTCTCTCTCTTTCCTCCTCTTCTCCTAGAGTGTTATATCGCATACTTTATATAGTTCTGGAAGAGTCCATGTTGTAGGTATGTTACGGTCTCACAACACTTCTTCTTCCTCTTTTTTATTTGATTGTTATCTTGTTAGTTGGGAGAAAAGTATATAGAAAGAAGGAGAGAAAGAGAGATAAAAAAAGAAAAGTCTTTTAAAGAAAAGCTAATGTATTATTTTAATTTTAATTCTTTTTATTTTTGTTTATATATTTTATTTTTATATTTTATTTTATTTTTTTATCGAGACTCACTGCAGATGTAAGCCAAGTTGCAATGCCAGGACATTAAAACTCCTTTAAACTCTCTCAACAGTCCGCATTGTAAAATGGAAAATAAATAGAGATTGATGTTGGATTTAAACAATTAAAAATACAGGGATGCAACAATAAGTCTGCAATCTGGCATACGGTTATAAGCTGAATTTTGATCTGAAATTTTCACTATATAATGCTTGATCTATATGGCACTAAATTAATAATTCACAAAGAAGATAATACTGGAAAATATTTCTTTTTTAAAATAAATTCACTTTTCAGCTTTAGGATTTGGACTTATTGATCTAGCTATGTGTTTCTTAAAATTTGATTATTTTTATTTATAAAAAAACTTTATTTAGACAGACAAGATTTTTTTAAAATACCAATTAATTAAAACCATTTTTAAAAATATTTTCTCATTTTTTACTCTTACATATTCATCAGGACTATTAATACCCATTAAAATTTCATGGCTTTTCTGTTTGAATTTTCTGATGAATCATAATTCTTAAGTTAATGACTGAATAAGTCCTTGCGAGTTTTATGACTATAAAACACCCATGAAAATCCTCCTGTGGCATTCTTAAATATTTGAGTTTAACTGCTTTGCTAAAAATATTTCAATAATGACCATAAGTATGAATGCATGCTATTATTTATAGAAGTAAGAGGGTACAAATAAAACCTTTGAAATCGATAAGTTTCTTTCTGTTTCACTTAAGTAGACGTTAAACATATGAGAATGTTTTTTCTCTTTCATTGAAACCTAACAGTGTCTCCGATATGTCTTTTACGACTTACCCTTCTCAATGAAAACAGAATAGTAAATTATTTATGAGGTAATGACAGGATGTAACGGTCGTGCTAAGGAAAGAAGAAACTAGCAGAATTATCATCAGATTCTTTTTAGTTTTGTCCAGTTGACATTGCGGGAAATTTTGCTCTGCAAGTAACTGCAAAAGAAATTTCACTCCATATCCGATCATAGGAATTACAGTGGAATCTCAGTTCATGAATTTAATTTGTTCCTGAAGGCCATTCATAACCCAAAATGTTTGTAAGTTGAAACTATTTTCCCCATAGAAATCAATGCAAAATGGATTAATCCATTCCTGGACCCCAGATGATTGCTTATTTTAAACTTTTATAACAGTACTTTATGCACAAGTTCATCAAAAAAACAGTAGCATACAGAATGGGGTGGCAGAGAATGTGACAGCCCTGGGCATCCATATCAGGAGGGCATCTAATTAAAGAGTGAAATAAAAATTTAGTTTATATTTGATTTGAATAAAGTGTTTATTTCAGGTTTTATCTGTTTTCTCACATTTCTCATAGGACCTCTGTACTTGAGTCTTATGGGTATACAATCCAGGAATTGGCCCTGCGCATCACCAAACATTACCAAACATCTGCACATCACTTTACAAAGCCAATGAAAATCATTAAACACAATACTAAGCAGATAAAATATAGAATAAAACTTAATTTTACTGTACCTCTATAGAGGAGAGTACCAAAGTATTTTATTTTTTCATTTATGAAAGCAAAATAACATCATATTTCCCAAGAAAATTAAATTTTTGGCTTTAAATGACCCATAAGTGATGATTTACTCCTTCCACAGACACCCAGTCTCAGCTAAACCGCCATCTTGTCAAAGGAAACTACAACAACAACAAACAAAAAGGAGATCACTTCAAACAGACTTCCTTTTATCTATAGACAAGAGGAGACAACTCAACAGTCTTAACTCAGATTAACAATAAGGAGTTGATGTGCCATTAAATGAACAAATCAATCAACAATTCCCGATAGTTGCTTAATGCATCATGTGAATCAATAGGTGAGAGTAATGTATGTTCCTTGAAATATTATTTTTACAAAACAGCTAAGAAAAATGCCTGAGGTGCAGGGATACAACTCCCAGAATATCTGAAAACCCAATTTTTTAAATTATTTACCCCAAGCAAGGCAATAAAGTCACTAAGGCACAAAGGGTTACTGAGCACAAAAGAATAAGAAAAAGAAAATAATTATCAAGGAGTAAGAACAATAAAAGTGGAATCAAGAAGACAGTAGATAACAATTGACATTGTACTCAAATTTTTCAAGATCAAAGTTGGCTGGAAAACAAGAAGCCAGAAGGGTGTTCCACAGGTGAGAAAAGAAACTGCTAGCAAAGAACTTATAGATACATTTAGCCAAATCAGCTGCAAAATGATGAGACCTTGTTGCCAATCTGGTATTGCACTTAAAATTCATAAAACCTAGATACCATAGTGGGAAGTTCATCAGAATAATTACAATGAAAGTATTTATAGAAAAAGGCAAAGGGAAGTTATGATGGTGGTTAGGGGACTTAAGCCAAGATGCCAGGTCAGGACCAATAACATTACAGGTTCTTTGGATTTTATCAAGAATCACTAAATATATAGCAGGAGCACCTGACCATATGTGGCAGTAATATTTGAACAATTTTGAGATATAAACATTAAAATCAAATCCAAGAAATATAATAAACAACCATAATAATTAGATTAAAAAATCTAGACGATATGCAAGACTCAAGAGTCACTCAAGTTAGAGGGTTACTAAGTGCGATTGTTATAAGAGTATGAAGAAGAAAGAAGTAAAATGTACATATTATGAGGATATGTGGGATAGATATCAGTTGAACCTAAATTGGAAGAGGTTAAGATTGTAGTGGTTGAGAAAGCATCCTCTCCGGAGTCTGTTCCACAAAGTAACAGTTCTGGGGAATAAAGTGAGTGGAACTTACTCCTTGCCAAAGGAATATGAAGGAAATAAGGATGATTTCATACTGTGAACATAGCATGTCAGGTTCAAGCTGCGATTGATTTGTCTTTTATAGCTTATCAATCTTTTGCAGGTTATTTAAAGCCAAAACATAATTTAGATTGTAGGAATAATTTTTTTCCAGTATATATTGCATTATCAGTTTTTGGAGATAATGAATTTTCTAGATGTAAGTCTGACTATTTAACCTATAACTGCGGGGAAGAAGGGCTGGATTCATATTTTTCCCAAGGATATTTGTGTGTAAGTGAATATAACAAACTTGTTCTGTGATGGTCTGAGTTGGTGGAACTAAGGAATTTAGTTCATTCGAACATTTACCACAATAACAGGGATAGAGTAGTTAGAATTTAGCAAACATTTCAACTGTAGGATATGGGCCACAAGGTGAAAAATAATTCATCACCCATAAAGCTGTATAATTGCTTTTGGAACTCTGTCAAAGCTGGACAATAAGGACAGGGCAACACCAGCCTAGATAGGGTAGAAATACTCCATTCATGGTCTGAATGTTTCAGCATATCTTTACAAAAGGTAAAAGTCTCGGCCTTACCTACTTTCCAAAATCTGACCAACTGTCAGATTTTTTTTTTTTTTTTAGGGTTTCTTGGTTAGTCCAATAATTTTTTAACATTGCCTCATATTTTAATGCATTTTTTAGACTACAGTTCAAAATTTTGACACAGCCCCTGGCAATTTTTAAATTGGCCCCAAAAGTAGTTTTTTTCTACTTTAAATAAGAGAAATTTATTATACATGGTTAAAAAAAGTAAAACATGATTTTTTATTATAAATTTTATTATGACAAAAAGAAAAAAAATTTATGATTAAATTTTGCTCTTGTCAAAATATCCCCCTTTGACCTTGATTACTGAAGCACAAACTTTTGGCATTTGTTGCAAATGTTTCTCAAAGTATAAGACTGATAATTGATTCTATTCTTTTTTCAATGATTCTAAGAGCCTCTTTTTCATTTTTTTTTTTCACTCTTCTGTCAAGTTCATTCCATGCTAGTTCTGGAGGTGGCTTTAAACTTTTGAACTTTAGTACATATTTTTATAAATTTTAAAAAGTAATATCAATTCAGTGGATGAAATTCTTTGAAAACCCGTTGACTTGATGGAAAAATCTTTTGTTTTTGGTTTCAGTTCCACCGAGAATGCATTGACAACTGGCTGCTCCATTGCCATGCTGTATGTCCTGTTGATGGGCAAGAGGTTTGGAATCCTTTCACTGCAACTAAAAAGAAATGCAAGACAAAGTATACAATTTTTATTAATTTAGTATTTCATTTCCGAGATGAGTCAATATTCTTGTATTATTTCGAACTACTGTTCCCATCTTGACTTATATAGATGTTATTATAGACACAAAATTTCGACCAAGTACCTTCTGATCATCATCAGGTGTCCATTGATTGGTTGATATAGGATATCTGACAAAATATCACAATAATCAAGAGATATCCCATATCAGCCAATCAATGAACACCTGATGATGACCAGAGGATACTTGGTCGAAACGTTTTGTCTATTATAACATCTGTATCAACCAAGATGATAACAATACTTCAAAATAATAAACAAATGATTGATTGATTAATTCATTCATTTTTTTATGGCTTATCAACTCTTTGCAGGTTATTTAAAAATCTAATCATCACTTTTTAAAATAATAACCATTGCTGAGGAGTGAAGGTAGTTAAAATAATAGTGGTGTCAAGGGAAACACTGTTCTTTTGACACTCCACTTTAGTGTAACAAATAAACATAACAACAGACAAAAATCTGACAATTATAATATAGATGAAGTATTTAAAGAAAAATGTATATATCCCCAATAATTTGAAGACATTAATGACTGTAATACTAATTTAACTTTTAAGAGATTTTAATTGGCATGTGTTTGGTGTGTTATTAACATTATAATTAAATCTTACAAAACTATTGTGCTATATTTAGTATTTCATATTTGAGATGAGTAATTGTCAATATTCTTGTATTATTTTGAACTATTGTCTCTCATCTTGGCATATATAGATTTTATTATAAACTCAATGTTTTGACCAAGTACCCTCTGGTCATCATCAGGTGTTCATTGATTAGCTGATATGGGATTTTTGTCGAGATGAGTAATTGTCAATATCTTTGTATTATTTTGATCTCGGTAACCTACAGGGGGAATTCTGAACGGAAACCCCTTTATTTAATCTAAGGGGGTGGAGGTAAACTATTTTCATTCTACTGCACATGTCTCGGGATATCTTGTCTAGTTCTTATTTTTATTTAGTACTGTCGAGTTATTGCTTGCCCTGTTTCCAGTAAGTCCAAGTACCCACTGCCTGGACCTGGGATTAAATTCACAATTACTATATCACCTAAATTTACAAACCCACTGGACAATAACTCGGGATTAAAGCATTAGTTCATGTATTCTACACTTAGTATTTACTTGTCGCCCCACGCTGGTAGGATGGGACACAAGGTCAATTTAATGTGGGGAGCCTGGGTGCATACACCTGGATCAAGTTTAAAAATAGCCCAGTCCCCTCACCCATTGGTTGCGTTGACATCAGTATTACTATCAATCTTCAATGCAATATCGATCTTTAGTGCAATGAAGAAGGTACTGTCATGGGCAGCTGTTTCCCGAGACCAGGCACCTCTCACTATTTTCAGTTGAGCTTTGTCTACAGATAGAGACAGAACTGAGTTGCACTCTGTTCAAAGAGAGAGACACACAATTGAAATGTCAAATGTTTCCTTATGAGGAAACAGTTAATATTACCATTTAATGAGAGTTACAAATATAAAGAAAAAGACAAGCTATTAAGAAACCAAGTTATCGTACAATTCTAAAGCAGAAGATGAGAATAACTGAAAAAATAAAACAGAAAACAAATACAGTGTACAATAAGTAAATTGTCACCATTTTATATTTTTAATTTTGTGCATGCACTTTGTTTTTGATTTTGTTGACTGCACAGTTGGGCACTGACTATGAGAAAAACCACACAATGATGCAATTCACTCTGCCAGAAATTTGGTATGCTTTACTGATTGGCATTCACATAAGAAGCTCCAATATGAACATTTCAGAGTGTTTGGGTGTCAATCTGAGAACAATGCAGAGGATTCGGAAAGAGTTGGATGTGATATATCCAGTCAACATTATGGTGTTCAGAGTGATCACAAGTGATGGTGATGTTATGCCTCCATTCATCTTCCCACAGAGACTCAGACTCAACACAGATGCCTACATCAAGTGACTTGAGGAAGTAGTGCTGTCCTGAGTCAAGAGGGTGGCTGCTGGAAAACCCTATGTCTGGCAACAGGACTCTGCACCATGCCACACAAGCAGGAGAACCCAGTCATGGTTGTCAGACAATTTCTGCAACCACATCACTTCTTACATCTGGTCACCTATCTCCCTAGACTGCAACCCCCTTGATTACTATGTGTGGGGTGCCAATGAGTGAGAGACCAAGAAAACTCCTTGCAGCATCAAAGATGAACTGAAGACAAGGATTATGGTATCATTCACCAACTTAAACAATGAGACTGTCCAGAATGTTTGTAGAAGATTCCAAAGTCATCTGGAGGCTGTGGTTGATGTCAATGGTGATTTTATTGAATAAATTTACTCTTTAGTATTTCAAGATATTTTTGTGTAATTTTGGTCAGTGTTATTTTCATTTTTGCATAATTTAGACAACAATTTATCCATCACACCCTATAAATTAGATACTCAATATTTGGAAGTGTGTGATAATATTTTTTTAATATTTAAATGTTTCTTTAAATGTACTTTCAAACATATTGCATATTTTATTTTGTTGGTTTCAAGTGGATTTTATTTCTTTTTACTTTTCTTTTTTTAAAATTCAGATTAAAGAAAAAAGAAGAGTGTTTAACAAAGGATACATTAGCTTTGGATATTACTGGTTGTTCTATAGAGCCTTCACAGCCTAAAAAGACAGTTTTAGGTCAAATTAGAATGCAAAAAAGTTTCCAGGCAGATGCTTTGAAAAACAAACAACAAAGGCAAGTTTTATTTGGCCAAAGGTAAACATTTCATCAAATCCAGTTGTTGTTTTTTTTTCTTATTTCTTATTCTTTGTTTTTATTTATGGGATACAATGTTGCGAGATTCCCTCTCGTCTGTTTTAGCATCTGTTGGGCAAAATGGTCAGTGCATATGTTTTTGTGCGCATGTCATATGTGCATATGTTAGTGCGTATGTTTTTGTTACCTATATAAATACAAAGCGACAAACAGGAACATCCATCATCATTATCATTCATTCAGTTTGTATGTTTTGGGCAGATGTGGTACCCCCCCCCTCCTGTTGTAATCATGGTTCATGGTGACATTCAAGGCAAAATAGTGAAATGGTTTGCCAGTTCTTTTTGCACTAGGGATGTTGAGGTTACACCGTCCCTCCTATCAGAAGTTCCTCCACCCACTGATAAAACCATTGACCTCTAAGGTGCAGCTCCTACACCCAGGCTGGTGGCTGGCCAATGGCTACTTGGCACAGATGGGTTGGGGAGAGGCATTCCTCTTCACCAGTTGAGTTGAGAAACATTTCTGATTACCCTCACACAGTTTAACTGGTTGGTCAATGCTATTGATTGGGGTGTGGCTGTTACAGTGCCCATGTAACTTCTTGGAGCCATGTGTGAGAGTTGGATGTAGGCCATGGACCAGTTCAGTTCTGCATCCCAATTAACCTGAGTAAAGCAGGGCGGACTACTTTGCTGCAAAGATACTACTCATGACATTACAGTCCATCAACCCCATGCACATACACAAGCACACAAATAAAGGAAGAAATTATTTATATGCAGACTATTCTCCTCATCTTTGTTGTTGTTATCACAAAGTTTTAGAACCTTGTGCCCTCTGGCTATCATGAGGTGTATATTGACACGGGTAACCTACAGGGGAGCTAGGTTGTTTCCCATATACCTGAAATATAAATATGAACTAGAAGTTTGAAAAGTGAAAATTTCACTGAAATATATTGGAAAAATTTCCAAATTTTCATCTGAAAGCAAAACAAATATGTGTTGTGATAATGAAAGATGCCTTCTAAAAGCTGAGCAAAGTATTAAGAAATAGGAAAATATTGTTAGAAACAAAGAAAAGAATATTGAAATGTTATGTAGTATATGGCAGCAAATGCAGATGAAGAAAATGTGCTTTCACAGATGGATATTGGGAATACCATGGACTGAACATGTGAGCAATGATGAAGTTCTAGAACCACCAGCAGCAAAAAGGACACTTATGCTTGACATCAGGAAAAGACAGTTGAAATTGATGGGGAAAATAATTAGGAAAGAGGGCTTGGAAAATGTGAGACTCACAGGACACATTGAGAGCAAGAGGGCCAGATGAAACAAATGCACAACTTAACTTGTGAGCTTGAGTAAATCGCTGGTGGAGCAGAGTTTAGGAGAGATGACAAAAGACAAAAGTTATTAAGCGCTACAAAGGACAGAAAATTGTGGAGAGCCATGATCACTAACATTCTGAAAGGGTACAGCATTTAGAAGAAGATATTAAGTTAATATATTTTGAAAAAATAAGCCTTCAGTTTAAACTGACCCTAGGAAGCTATGAGTTTATGAGTTAAGCAAAAAAAAAAAAGCTGCAGTAAAAGGTTTAACCTTCAGCGCACTGCATTATAAATATTACTTTCTTTTCCACTTCATTATTTTTCAAGGCCTCTCAATTGCGATAGCCTTACTGTTAATTTCACTTAAAGTTGTTTTATGTGGCCATAGCAGGATATGACAACACAACTATGAAATTCAAATTCAGGGATCAGAGTCACCTTCAGTGGCAGGATAAACTTTTTGTACAGCAAATGAAGTCACATACAGAGTGATAAAGGTTAATGGGTAATGAGTTCTTTCAGGATTGAGTGGGAGCAGAATTAGTCAAAAGTAAATGTCATACATTCTACTAAGAAAAGATATGTAAAGATTAGTGATCGGTCTATATTTGTTTGACTAACAGCACAAAAGTAAATCGACTGTAGCCACAGGAATTGAGTCATAAAAGTACAAAAAAAAAAGAGAGTAAAAGAAGTAGCAGACAGTAACAGCATTTTTCTATCAATACTGTATCTCAAAACCATGCTGAGAGATATAAACGAATTGAGAAGAGAACAATTTACTCTGGCTGGAACCTGCTGTCTAATTCACAAGCTTTAATTGTGAGCAATCATTCACTGCTATGTTGGATGGATGCAACATACTTCTTTTTCTTCTATGTGCCATGTCCCTTCAGGACGTTGACAATCATGGCTCTCCACAATTTCCTCTCCTTTGTAGCTCTTATTAAATTTTGTCTTTTTGTCAACTCTCCTAAACCTTGTTCTGCCATCCATTTACACAAGCTTGTTAGGTAGGCCCCATATTGTTTTCCTCTGTCTCTTTTCCCTTCAATCTGTCCTGTGAAGGTCAAATTTTCCAAGTCTTCTTTTGTTCTATAGAAATTTCAACTCTTTCATTCTGATGTTAACTATAACTTTTTGTTTCCATTTTCTCTCAAACTTTGTCATTGCTCACCTGTTTGGTCTATGGTATTCTCAGCATCCTTCTGTAAGACAAGCAAATATGGCTTTTGCTTCTCTAGGTCAACTGCTGAGATACTGTTGATTATTGCTGAAAGAGTCCATCAACCTTTACATAAGGCTGATGAAGCTCAGGCTATTGCTTTGGACATCTCAAAAGTGTTTGACAGGGTTTGGCATAACGGTCTTCTCCATAAGTTGAAAGACTATGGTATTCCCAGACAAATTATTGAACTGGTTCAGTTTTTCTTATCAAATCACAAAATGAAAGTTGTTTTGAATGGCCACTCTTCTAGATCCTTCTGTACTAATGCAGGGCTCTATCCTTAGGCCTACTTTGATGATATCAGTTATCAACTTGATATCTATGCTGATGACACAACCATTTACTCCTGTCTCAATAGTAAGTCTGATCAGTTCAATAAGATCAAATTGGCAGCTGATCTCAAAAATAATCTACAGTCTGTTGCTAAGTGGGGCAAGGAATGGCTTGTTAGTTTTAACAAATGAAATTTCTCTCTGTCAATCATCTGAGAGACCCCTTCCTGCCTCCCATCAGTATGTCTTCTCAGGCTATCATTCTCAGCTGACATGAAGTGGGAAGATTATATTGAATCCACTGCTGTTAAGAAAGTTGGTTCACTGTGTCATGCTAGACAATTTTTCTTGCTGGAATCTATCTTACATATTTGTAAGTTGACCATTCATCCATACTTCAAATATTGCTGCTATATATTTAGAGATTCTTGATAAAATCCAAAGAAGAATCAGCAGTTCATCCTGACATGGTATCTCAGGATCAAACACTTTCTCACCGCCATAATGTAGTTTCCCTGTGCTTTTTCTATAAATACTTTCATAGTAACTGTTCAGATGATCTCTTCACTATTTTACCTCGACTTTATAAATTCAAGCGCAATGCTAGATTGGTGGCAAGGTTTTATCAATTCACAGTTGAATTGGCTAGATGCAACCATAAGTTCTATACTGACAGTTTCTTTTCTTGCACTTTTCACTTGTGAAAATCTCTTCTGGCTCTATGCTTTGTGGACAAGTTTGATCTTCAAAGATTTAAATGCAATGTCAATCATTATCTACAATCTTTCTGATTACACTTCTATTGTTCTCACTCTTTAATAATGTTTCTCTTTTATTCTTATTCTTTCACACTCAACAACCCCTTGTGTCTTAGTGGCTTTACTGCCTTACATGGGGTGATATGATGAAAAATAAATAACCACATATCTGTTGCTTCAAGTCTATTCTTCAACTGTGAGGAGATTGTTCAGCATTCACTGTCATATAGGAGGACTTACATTATGTAACATTTCATTACTCTTTTCTTTGCTTCTAAAGAAATTTTCCAGTTTATTAATACTTTGCTTAGCTTTTAGGAGGTATCTTTCACTATCCTAATGTGCCTTTTGATTGTGCTACACTTACCATCTTCTGTTAAAATGCTTCCAGATATTTAAATTTTTATACCTGATTGATTTTGTTATCTCCATTTTGTAATTTGCATGTTGGGCTGTCCATTTTGCTAACAACCATACATTCTATCTTCTTGCAATTGATGTTTAATCCTTTCTTCTTGCTTTCCTTCATTATCTTTTGTAGGAGTTTTTGTAGTTTCCTTTCTGTGTCTGCTAACAACACTGTGTCATCTGCATATCTAGTGTTGTTAAGATTGTAGGCACCAATAAGAATCCTAGTCGTACTTCTAATTCTCTCAGTATTGCATCACTGTATAGGTTGAATAAGTCTGATGAGGAGACACATCTTTGTCTTACACCTTTTGCCCCCACCCCACCATTCATCACTGCAAGAGTCATGCGTGGTAAGTGGGGGTAGGATTACAACAGACAGCATATCATTGTTTAGTGTTGCAAGGCAGAAACTAAATCTCTCATATTGCCTGAATGGCCACATATGTTGCAATAAACATATTTGGGACAATGAGCTTGTTAAGCACTTTTAAACATCCCTTTTAAAATATAAACATATCATTTAGTTCTTAATTTTCTCATTGCATATTGTCTTGAGTGTTCTTCCTGGATAAGGGGGGAAAAAGAGCAAGTTTTATTTATTTGCATTACCCAGAATGCCTTAGAGGACTACTACTACTACTAAAAATAGCAGCAGAAACTGTATTAGCTTTGATGCTACTTTTTTCATCAGTTTATTTTGCTTTAGCTTTTAACGCTACATTAGTATTGTGAAACATTGTCACAACATTAGTACCGTGGGGTTTTCAAACACTCCATTTAAAATGTAGATATATCATATAGTTCTTAATTTTCTTGTTGCATATTGTCTTGAGAGTTCCTCCTAGGTTTTTATAGGATAAATAAAAAGAAAATACTATTTTCTGAAAAACTGAATTAAAAGGCCAAAATTAAGAAATGAATTTGTAAGTTTCAAAGGTTCAAATTTGCAAAAATAGGTTCCGTTTTATTTTGAGTAGGATCGTTTAAAACAATTTATGATCAGTCTGACTCCTCTTTCATTGTTTTTTCATATCCGAAAGTTTTATTTTCTAGAAATATTTTTAGGTTTGTCATTGAATTAAAATATACATGGATGCATGCATACACAAACATTTTGAATGCAACTGAAATGAGAATCTATGTTGCCACAGCTAATTTCCCTTACTACCTGGCAACAACTTCTGTGTAACTGGAAATGACTATAAGCTGAAATGTGTATCCTTTTGAAAGTAAATTTTTGTGAGTCTTTCTGGATTTAAACTTAATATATTTTCTAATAAATTTATCAATATTATATATCATACTTATTATAAAACCCAGGTTGTGTGTGTGTGTGTGTGTGTGTGTGTGTGTGTGTGTGTCTGTTCGTTTATATATTGGATCGGATTTCCTACATTTTTCAACCAATTTCAACAAAACTTCACGGGACTATGTAAAATTACCTTGCGGTGGTTCTGACAGCGCCAAATATTGGAAAAACACTATTGTTTTTGCACCAAATCAATTTGAAAACACGATTAAGAGGCATTAATGAAAGGGGGACAACTCATATCGGGTTATACTTATTATAAAACCCAGGTTGGTTGTTTGTGTGTGTGTGTTCATTTATATATGGGATCGGATTTCCTACATTTTCAACCGATTTCAACAAAACTTTTTTTTTTTTTGGCAGGTAGTGTTTCTTATTGTCTTTACACTTTTTTTTCTTTATTTTTACATTCAGAATGCTTTAAAAATTCCATTTACAAGACAATTGTTTATAATAAAATTCTATTCAATCGGTAGACTCATAATGATTGAAAACAGTGTTTTTGTGTGAGTTTGGGTTTGACCAATTCTTAAAAAAAAAAAAAACAAAACAAAAAAAAACTAATTAAGACATGCATGTCTGCCAATTTTATTTTTCAGTCTTTATCTCTTACTGCTACATTCCCGGGCAACGCCGGGCTCTACTGTTAGTTATATATATAATTTATTATATAATGTGAGATTGCTGAAGAAAAAAGATTTATTCTTCCATTTGTATTTCTCTGTTATTGGCATTATTATATTGGTGTGATATAATAACACTGTAGTTCATTGATGGAATGGAATGGCTGAAAGGAAAAGGAATGACAAACATCCTTTACTACTAAGGCATGCATAAAACTATAAATATATATATATACATGTCCCATTTGGAAAACAATATGTCACATATATCTACACAGCAAAGCAGAGTGTAAAGAGAAACAAAAAGGAAGGGTCATACATATAATATGGAGATATTCCTGTGTCTGGAGAAGTCACTCCAGATTCAAATGGGCTGGATTCAACTATGTCCCAGGTGAAGATATTTTACATGAATAGGAAACAACAAGTCTTGGGTTTTCCCAAACTTAGGATTGCAAGCTGGAGATTCAATATCTGGGAAAGATATATTCCTGAAGGGAAATGGTACCATGGGCATGTAAGCTGCTGGGGTGGCAGATTTAGCCTCTGCCTGGACCATGGGAGTGACCTGGGCTAAAGACAGCAAGCTTTCAGTTTGGCTACTATAAAACAAACTGAATTTGACTGCTGCTTTCACCACTGTATGGAGCGACATCGCTAACTAGTCCATCATGTACTAATTAATATTTCAACAAAGGATAATTTTTTTAAACCTATACTTAACCAAGAGACACATAGGATAGTTGATTGAAGCATTGGTTAAAAACATGATATGAGTTAACTGATAGGAGTTATCTTCCCTAACTGATATGACTTATCTCCCCTAAGCACAGAAAGTGGAATTTTTATCTGTAGTGATGAAATGAATAAACATGCCTGTTTGAGATACATAAAAAAAATCATATTCAATACAATATTATTTCAGCCATTCCAACTTAACAGGTGAGGATGTTGTAGCCAGCAACAGCAACAAGGAGGCTGGAGATTATTTTCAGTTTAGAACCAATTCCTTGTTGAATTTAGTTTCCCAGAAATCTTCTGGGGAGGCAGTGTCATCAGCTGACAGGATCGATGGAGAGAGACAAGCATCGTCTAAAGAACTTATTGCTCAATGCCAGCCGAATATTGAAAGAGTGAAAAGTGCACCATTTTTGAGGTTAATGACCAATATACTTCCTCCGATACAAGTGAAAGGTAATTGTTTGTTTCATTTAAAAAGCTAACCATCAGGCACTTTCAAATTTTAAAAGATAAAAGTGGTTTTAAAATATGTACTTTGGTATCAACAAGATTTCATCTTTTAAATAAATAATCGGCAAATTCTGTCTGTGTATCTAAAACCCCTCTAACTTGGGCCACACTTGCTCTACATAGAATCAGGATGATCCTGGGATTGAAAATCTGTCATTTATCTGGTGCTTGAACATCCAGCATTGGGATTTGTGTTCAAATGAGGAGGGAATAATTAGAAATACAAATTTTTAAATAACTGAAAAAAAATTGGTGATTTTAAAAGTTTTTAATTTATATTGAATTTAAAGTAACACAAAAACTTTGTGAATTAAAATTTTTTTTTTTCTAAAAAGGGAATTCCACAGATGGGAGATGTGAAACATGAAGCCATTGGAGTAGAAGAGACGGCCACATTTAACTATTTCAACAATGAAAGGGTGGGACCATGATGCTTAAATTCATGCAGACTAGTGAAAGTAGCTCATTGAAGCAGTTACCATGAAAGTATTTGTAGAAAAGACAGAGGGAGGTGACAGCATGTCTGTGAGAGAGCGACTGTAGATAAGATGCCAGATCAGAACCAACCACATTGCATATCCATCTCTGGATCTTGTCAAGGACCTTAAGGTGAACAGCTGGGGCACCAGACCATATATGGCAGCAGTATTCCATGCAAGGATGAATGGTTGATTCATAGATTTGAAGGATGGACTCAGACGAGTTCTTCACTACCTACAACTACATGATCAAAAAAACTAAATCTGGGAAGAACTGGTTTCCTCTTCTCCCACTTTCTTTAATACCTTGGATTTAGATATACAGCCTGCTAAGGTGTAGTAGCACTTAATGAGGAAGGTCAGGGAGCACGAAAGATCCTAGGTGTAGGGTCAGGGTGCAACATTTTTTTTTTTGGCAGAGTGCAGAGATATTAGACTGATCCTAGGCAGAATGTCAGGAAACAACACTTTCATGCCTGATCCTAGGTAGATAGCCAGGGAGCAATACTTTGATCCTAGGCAGAGTGCACAAATACTAAACTGATCCTAGGTAGATGGCCAGGGAGCAATACTTTGATCCTAGGCAGAGTGCACAAATACTAAACTGATCCTAGGTAGATGGCCAGGGAGCAATACTTTGATCCTAGGCAGAGTGCACAAATACTAAACTGATCCTGGGTAGATGGCCAGGGAGCAATACTTTGATCCTAGGCAGAATACACAGATATTACACTGATCCTAAGCAGGGGGTCAGTGAGCAACACTTTGATTCTAGGCAGAGTGTACAAATATTAGACTGATCCTAGATGGTGAGTTAGGGAGCAATACTTTGATCCTAGACAGTTGATCAGGAACCAACACTTTGTTCCTATGTAGAGTGCACAGATATTGCACTGATCCTAGATAGAAGTGCCGGCATTTTTTGTGGGTACTTTGTTAGTATTGAAATATTCATTTCAATATCAGATTACAGTTTATTATTTTTGTGTCTAATGAATAGTTGATTACACAAAGAAAAATTTGGATGCAATTTTTAATAAACATGCTCATGTACAAATATAAAAACATTTAAACACATGGATTGGTTGATAACATTTCTTTCTCTCACGTGATCATCTTCGATGTCATAGAACCACATTATGAATTTACGACCTGTGTCTGCTATTCCCTGACTGTTATCATTGCATAGCAAACTTCTACGTAAACATAACAGGATGTCATCTTTGATGAAGATCTCTGTTGTAATGTCCATATAACCACTCTGAAGATGGCTCATGTGAGCTGAAACCTTAGATTGAGGAATAATATAATAAAAAATATCCAAATGTTTGACAGATTTGGTCTTTATTTTCTCCTGAAACTAAAGCCAATATATGAAGTTTAGAATGGCTCATGATCAAACATAATAGGCATTCATTGTCTGTTATATTTAACAATATATGTTTGAATATAAAACTTGTAGACAATCAATATTTGATGGACATTCAAGAAAGTGGAGTTGTTTAATATTTCGGTAAACTTGGAAAAACATATGTCAAAAGGATGGTTTTTCCCTTGACACCACTATTATTTTAACTACTTTCACTCCTTGGCAATGTTTATTGTATTAAAAAGTGATGATTAGAACTTTAATAAAAGCTAAACATATAAAATGGAATTTATACATTTTCTTTATTCCTGAAAATTTACAACAAAAATAATAAACATCATTTATTTATTAAATTGTTTATTGGAATGGTTGGCAAAATATTGGCTAATTGCTAATTAATTCAAACTTTATAAAATGGTAAATAATAAGGATTTCCTTATAGTTGGTTCACATATTTTAATAATTTAGTAAATGTTTATAAATTTATGAATAAAAAATTATTTTTATATATATTCCTTTATAAATTGGTAAATGATAAATATTGCATTGCATTAGTTTTGTGTTAGTTTTTAAAATGTTGTAAATATAAAATTATTCTTTTAAATAGATTATTTAATAAATAGTGTTTATTATTTTGTTATAAATTTTCATGAACAAAAAATGTCTAAATTCACTTTCATCATGCATTTATGTTTTATTACAATTCCAATCATTGCTTTTTAAAACAATAAACATTGCTGAGGAGTGAAGGTAGTTAAAATAATAGTGGTGTCAAGGGAAAAACTGTTCTTTTGAAACTGTGTTTTTTTTGCTGGCATGAAAGTCCAAGTTTGCCAATATTTCAATGACTAAGTCGAGAAATAAAGTCATATAGACTTTTTAATCTTCAAATATTGATTCCCTTTCAACTGTTTGTCTAAATTTTATTAGATGAAGTCTTGTTTTAACTAATTTGTTTGTATTTGTTTATCTATCAATTTCTTATGATAATTTTATCTTTTAAGTAAAGTGTCTTCAGTTTGTAGGTTTCAAGTTACTTGTGTTTAGTAATAATTTACTTATGTTTTTAGTTACTATTTTATACTAAGGTTTTTCAGACTAATCTCTGGTCTGATTTCTCCTGTATAACTTTAAATGGCGGGAAAAGGTTGCATGATCATGTATACTGTGGTTAGAGAACCCATAGTGGTTTCCCATTTGAACTCCCCAACTATAAAAGAAATTGTCAAACCTCCTCACTTATGGGCAGTAGTTCATATCTATTTCTAGGAGGTGTTACTTAAAAGTACTAATTCAAAGAAAATTGGTAGACTGGTATTTTTAAAAATAATTCGGCTTATTCCTTCATTAGTAGGTTAGTAAGCCAGTTAGCCTGTGTGCTACACCCTGCCTTTGCCTCAGGTAAATAATAGACCATTCTGTTTTGATTGGGAGGAAAGATGTTGGAAAAACATATACCAGAGATGCTGCTTGGTTTTATTGATAAAAAGAAAGCATAGATAAAGAAAGAAAAATCTGGTTAGGTTGAAATTAAGTAGTTGGCTACCAAGGGAGTGCCACTCCAGAGGCAAATAATCCTATGTTATTGATATTACACTCCAAAACAAAAAAGAGAGTAAGAGGGTTTATGTCACTTCTTTTTTTAAGGTCATGATTAGAATGACACCAACCAATGTTAAGTGAAATCCATTGGCAGACAAGGTGAGTTAATCCCACAACACCATTTCAACCTTATTTTCTCAAATATGGCTGCTTTCTTTCTTTTTTTTTTTAGAGAAAATGCCGGAGTTACAGCAGAAAAAAATATCGAAACATCCTTCTGACGTAAGAGAAAAACTTTCTAACATGTTCCTCACTTATAGAATGTTTTCTCTTTTTATTTTGTGTTGAAAGAATTTGGAATTCTTGTCTTGTTTGTTTGAATTTTATATGCTGACATATTTATTCCAAATGAAATCAATAACTTCCTTTGTTTAATTGGATGTCTTAACAGACTGAACCTAACTTCATGCAAGCACTTTATATTTAAATTGCTCTTTATATGAGAAGCATTAGACGATGCTTTGCTTTCCACAATTATTTTTCTACACTGTGTACAAACGTAGTTCCCAAATAGTTGCTGTGGAAGATGATAGTAGGTGAGGTGGAATGATTGAAAGACAATCAAAGATTTAGAAACAGTTTCAAAATATTCATATGCCAAAAATAAATACGATTTCAAAATTTAAACTATTATTATGGATTACTTGTAATTGCATGCATGAGTCGTTATAAATAATCATTGACCGATTTTATCATTGGG